TAACATACATATATATATATATTAAAAACTACTGAAACTTTATGTACCAGACATACATCTGTATATGTTTATATTTGTGTAAACATTTCGCAAACGTGTTTCTGTTTCTGGATATACGTACTTATCGGCCAATCTACGAAAATTACATACTTACGTATATAAAAACAAGTAGATACACTCCATCTATGTAACTATAAATCCAATAACCGCTAATTATTTTCCTTTCACCATCTCAACTATCGTCCGATCAGTTCGAGCCTCAATCAGTGGACTTTCTGGACATCTCGAATCCGCGTGCTGTGCTCGAGAACATTCTTCGAGGCTTCGCGTGTCTATCTGAGGGAGACTTGATCGCCCTTCACTACAATGACAAAATATACGAATTACGGGTAGTCGAAACCAAACCGAATAATGGCATTTCTATCATTGAATGTGATCTAAATGTTGACTTTGCACCGCCTGTGGGTTATGTAGAGCCTACAAGGAACAACACTCCATCGTCGTCCCAGGTATATTCGGATGCATGCAAACACGGTACAATTCTTAATTAGAATCATCTTCACGGCTAAAGCTTCTACGTATGCAGCAACCATCATTCAGCTGGAAGATTGGGCAAATGGACTATCTAGATAATATATGTCGAGGTTTTCTATCGACACTATGTGTTTATTGTCATCGGGACCCTATGTATCGTACCATACCCGGAACTAGTTGCCTCCCATTAAGACGGGGTCGATTTCTCTATCTCAGTCCGTTAAGCCCACTACTATCGTGATGCTTGCAGGGCTCTATGATACAAGACGGAAGCAATTCAATAGCTAAAAAGTCGAAGAAGAACAAGAAGAATGATCCTTGGGCCTCGCTCGGACCCGGACTTCGAGTGGGTATGTTTTCTCTCTACACCTTTACACAACGTAGTTGTCTTAACCGTCGGGTTAAAAGCTATGCTGCTGTGCCAAAAAGTTGTATCATCCAACCGCTGTCCATAGTAACAAGAAGTGTTTGCACTATTCAATAGACGGTAAAACTGGGAGCAGTGGCAGTGCACTACGAAGGAAGAAGCAAAGGCAGCGGAGGATATCTGAAATGAGCGATAACGACCTCAGCTCGGATACTGGGCTGTCGAATGCAAAGTATGCTGATTAGTATGGTTAGTATGAGCATTGCTCTACTGCGACTTCGGATATTTATAAGGATGTGGAACAGTATCACAGTGAACTGTATGTTGATTAGTACGGTCAGTATGGGCATTGCACGAAGACTTCGGATGTTTATAAGGATGTGGAACAGTATCACAATGAACTGTGGCACTCTTCTACTTCACACAGAGCGTTATCACTTGCCCACTGCCTTAAAAGTGATCTTACTTTTCGGAAAACACTTACTAATCGATAACATTTTTCTACTCGTAATGTTCAACTTGACAGCTCGTTCCGCAATGGATCGTCACAGAACGTCGGCGTTGTTTCAGGTAAGTCCTCTGTGGCGTTTTCTATAACGAGACCGGTAGTTCGTATTGCTGGTAGACAAATGCGAGTGTAGCTGTAGACCAGAGCCTACACTTCAAACAGGCTTGTGTTGTATGGGTAATGTAAAGTATGGAAATATCTATCTATCTATAAATATATATATGTATACATATATGTATATATATATATGTATGTATGTATTTATATATATATATATATGTATGTATATATATGTATGTATTTATATTTATATATATCTATGTATATATATATATATATATTGATATATTGATATATTGATATATATATGTTGATATTGATATTG